GAATTGCAAGACGTCTGAACAATTGGACTGGTGCAAATGAATTCTTTCAGTATTCCTGAGGCACTAAAAGTTTAGAAAACCTTCCTTATATAGCTTCTGAAATGGGATTTGGCAACCTTCTGGCGAAGTCTGAATTGCTTGCAAATGAATTTTAATACATACATAATTTGTTATCAATATGCTGTAGGTATTGGTCTGTCTCTAACCTTCTTGCTCCCGTTCACTGTGGTTGGTGAAATGTTTGAAGAAAAAAGGGTTACCATGGTTACTGTTGTCAGTGTATTTATAGGAGTCGGCAATGTCTATTTTCCATTTCTGATTTCCGTCTTGAACGAAGTATTCGGTTGGAGAGGAACCTTCTTGATTATTGGTGCATATTTCCTCAACTGTGTTCCAGTTGGTATCCTGATTATGTTTTTCAGGAAGAGGCGAGAACAATTAGTTGGCATACAGAAGACTGATTTTAAATCATTGTTGAACTGTGAAGTGTTTGGAAGCCTGCTTTCTTGGTGGTTTCATTGAATTGTTTTATTATGACCATTTTATTCACAATTCTAAATACGTTTTTTGTTGATATGATGAGAAGTCGCCATTTTGATGTTCAAGATGGTCCTTTTTTATTGTCTATCAATGGATTTGCAAGTATCGGAGGCAGAGTTTTACTAACTGATAAATCGCCATTTTTGAAATGCAAACGAATGACAATTTGGCCCCTATTCCTTTTCTTGTGTTCGGTGACAGTTTTGACATTTGCATATTTCGAAACCTATAATCAGTTACTTGTAATCTGTATTTTGTATGGACTTTTTTGGGGCAGCTGTGCTGTACTTTATCCTGCCATTGTCATGGATATTTCGGGACTGAAGATGTATTCAACTGCTCTAGGATACATCAATTTTATTGGTGGAGTTGCAGGAATGTTCGGTGGCCCGCTTGCAGGTGATACATATATTTTGCATTTCATTGTTTGAACAGCAGCATGGTAATTGTGGAAGATTTATGTTATGGTTTATACAGTCGAGTAACCTAATTTCGTGGAAACCTATTTTTCGTGGATTTCCGGAAAGGATTAATAATTTACATGTGCGACCTCGCGTGACCTCCGCATTTACTTGTTTTGATAAACATGGGTTTCCTGTACAATGTCAGCTAGTAGAATGAATTCAGTAGTTTCAAGCAAGGTAATATGTATTGATGTATACTTTGACAAAAACAAAATGGCGGATTTCACTTATTACCAAACGTCACCATCG